TGTAACATTGTCATTGATTTGCTAGGAGGGTGGTCAAAGGAACTTGAGATGACTGTGAAAAAGCTCGTTGGATGTGTTGCAAAGAATGCAGAAAGCCTTAATCTCATGCTCGCTCAACTTTCAAGGGAACTGTTGTTTAACTGTTTAACTGAACTTACAAACATATTAGGACCAAATAAAAATAAATATGCCGGAAACTCCAGATACAGAACAGACTTGGAGTTGGCTTAAAACATCTGATTTAAAGGTTCAAACGAAATGTCCTTATCTTTGCCGCCCAGGAACAGACTCTTAGGACTATGTAATTATGTAAAACATCACATTGACTGCAGAGTCACCGTTCTTTAAAGAGAGAGAGTGTGTGTCAGCTTGTAAGTAAGTGTAAAACGTTGGCCCAGAAGGAATATAAATTAACGGCGTGATAATGTGGCAAATATTATGCAGTCTACATTGGAAGATATCTGCGTTATACCAGCTGGAACGGAAGGAAAAATGGTATGAACATGTGCCGTGGTGCGATAAGGGGTTGTGAGGAATGACGAAATGAAGCTGCTTTGGGATATGAACATCCACTGTGATAACGATCTTGAGGCAAGAAGGCCTGACATTACAATAGTGAGCAAGAGGGAGAACAAGTGGATATTGTTTTACCTAGAAGCCGTAGAATACACGACAAGGATTTTGCAAAAGTTGAATAATATCAGGATTTAACGAGAGAAAGAATGTGGGGTGTAAAAAACGTGGACCTGGTATCTGTTGTTGTAGGGGCCCTTGGAATTGTTACTAAGAAACATGAAAAAATGGATCGAAAAATTTAGGGTTAGGGTTAAGATTGGACTGCTACAGAAAACTACGCTACTAGGAAAAGCCGGGATTCTGAGCAGGGTGCTAAGATTGTAAGTACCAGGAGAGTGTCCCAATAGACCCCTGGTCATTTTTCCAGAATTGTGCCTGTTTTTAAATCCGATGATGAGACGGACCCAAATAATTATAAACCTATATCTTTATTGTCAAACTTCAACATTCTTACTCATTAGTTTCTACTTTGACATTATTTATTACTTGGTTTAATTTTTTCTTCTATATCGTGTTATCTGGTCCTCATCCATATTACGATTTTTATTTCATTTATTCGTAAACTGTAAACTTTTCTTAGCTAGCCTTAGTCTTAATTTCATAATTCGCACGCATTGTCCAGCCTGAAATAGCCTTGCTAGCAGTGGGCAATGCTTCTGTAATGTTATCTGTTTACTAATAAAGTTTGTTGACTAGCTCCCTTGGGATGTGTATCGGCATGACAACAGGCAGAGCTCAGAGCCGAATAGACAGTAATAATAATAAAAACAAGACAAGAAAAAATCGAAAACAAGAAACTGGAAAAACCATATCAAGATTTGAAAAGAGAGGTGAATAGTGTATGGAACTGTAAATCAGTTGTGCTCGTACCAATCATCATTGGCGCCCTCGGAATAGCCGGCAAACGATTCAATCTGTATCCAAAGAAAAAAGGACTTGACGGAAGTATGCAGTCGTTACATAAAGCTTGTTTTCTCCGTTTTGCGCGCGCAAGAGCTCCGCTACTAGTGGTAAAATGTCCAGTCTAATAAATATTTCCTTTTTTAAATGAAGATTTGATTGTGGCAGTTGTAATTGCAATTACTGGAATGAAGCAATGAAGATGATGTGAACTGCGGCCTCTGCTTTAGCGCAGAGGCCATGGGTTCGAATCGCTTTGAAGTCTCGAAATATTTTTTGAGTTAATTTGCAATTGCTTAAATTGCAGTTACCACTGCGACGATCATGTAAAAATTTGTATTTCCGCAGTTCACATCTTACAGGACTTGTAGACTCAGGGAGTATATCCTCATTTGACACAGTACGAGGCTGCTTAGGAACTGCAGCTAAGGGGGGAGCAGGGGCAGTAGCAGGCGACCGAGTTGGAACAGGTTCCGGAACATCTAAAAGATGTCTCCGGTTTCTGCGGTACTCCTTTCCTTCAGTCTGCACGATGTAGGATCTTGGCTGGACATGAGTTGCTGGGCAAGAGAACCTAGTGTTTGATCTCTAGGAACATTGCGGAGATTAAGGAGGCCAAGTAAGGGATCAGAACTGTCCTTACATTTGAAAAGCAGGTTCGTGGCTTGGTTGACAGCATTCTCTGCCAGGCCATTGGACTGGGGATAATGCGGACTGCTAGTGACATGCTGAACGCTCCATTCATTGCCATTGAAATTCTCTGCTTGCGAATTGTGGACCATTGTCAGTTAGCACTTTGCAAGGAATACTATGGGCAGCAAAGTGATGCTTCATCTTCTCAATCAAAGTCTTGGAAGACAAATCACGAAAAGTATTTATCTTGAACCAACCAGAGTAAGAGTCAGCAAGTACAGGTATTGCAGTCCATTCCAATCAAATATGTCTGCAGTCATAAATGGCCACGGGAGATCTGGGACCAGGTGAATAACAAATGGTTACCTCTGCTGGTGCGGTTTGGTACTGTTGCATGGCTGACAGAGGTCTATCGCAGAGTCAATGTCAGACGCCATGGAGGGCCAATACATAATTTCCCGCGCTCTTTTCTTTGTAGTGTCAGCTCCAGGGTGTCCCTTGTGTAGTTGCTGGACATACTCTTTGCATAGGGACATGTGGAACCAAGACCCTCAAGCCTTTTAGACTTACTTCTGGGGGTACACTCTTGGGCTTTCTGGCCACCCATGAGTAATGAAATGTGCCACTTTTTGCATAAAAGGATCAGTGACAGTGTGCCTTTGGAGTTCAGCCATACGTTCTGGTGAGATTGCGGTGAACGGCAATATGTCAAACTGCTAATCACTCTCTGTGCCAGGCTTCTCATTTGTGTAGGTATGTGACAATGTGTCTGCCACATACAGTTCAGTCCCTTTCTTGTAAATGAACTTCAAATTGTACCTCATGATAAAGGAAACATTAATTTAAAATAATCTAGAAATACTAAACCTATCTGAAAACTATTTAAAAAATAAAACATTAAAACTATCTAAAATTCATAGGCTAATTTAAACAAAAAGTCTTTACTAACGATTTAAAATTGGGAAAATTCTTTTCATGTCTTATGTGACGAGGAAGGGCATTGAAGATAGATGGTGTCATCAATGCAAACGACCTGTCACACCATTGTTTTCGATGTTTTAGCATTGAATGGCGAAAGATACAGATCGTCATTTCGTCTAAGAGAATATATACTGGGACGTTGAATGCTTACAAGACTACAAAGATAAGTAGGCGTTAAGCCATAAATAGCTTTAAATGTAAGTATAATTATTTATAGCGAATTCAATCCTCCACCGGCAGCCAGTGCAATGAGAACAAAACTGGAGTGACGTGGCAAAAACGAGACATACCTGTAACTAGCCTAGCCGCCGCATCCTGAACGCGCAGCAACTTACATACAGATTTGTCAGGAAGGCCACAAAGAAGACTGTTACAGTAGTCAATTCTACCCATAATTAAAATCATGAATTAAAGTTCTTGCTGTGTCTACAGACAGGTATTTTCTAATTCTACTAATATTATGGATATGGTAAAATGCAGCCCTGCGCGTATTACTGATATGTGTTTCGAAACTGAGGTTCTAATCAAACAAAGTTGCCAAATTTCTAGCGGCTGAAACTGGTGTAATAGAAGAATCTCCTACAGATAATTTTTCAATGCAAACTTTGTTCAGCTGTTGCCTCGTGCCTATGATCAGGAACACTGTTTTGCTATCGTTAAGTTTCAACTTATCCTAGCCCGTACAGCCTTTATGCATGACTCCATAGCACCTAAAGACTCCTGATTGGCATTACCCTCAGGCTTGAAAGATAAATAAAGTTGTGTATCATCAGCATACGCATGCACAGTAGGCAAAAGCTCCTTGATGACCTGGAACAACTTGTTAGCCTAGAGGGTGTGAAGGAGAGGTCCTAGGCGTGAACCCTGTGGTACCCCACATGTTGGATGAAAGGTATCAGAGATCCCATCACCGAATGCCAGACGCTGTGACCTGTTTGACAGGTAAGAGTGGAACCAAGCCAGTGCCCTCCCTTTGATGCTAGATGATGTTTCAAGACGATTGACAAGAACGTGATAATCTACGGTGTCGAACGCGGCTCTCAAGTCGAAAAAAATAAGAAGAGTCACCAGCTGACGATCCATACTCAGAAGAATATCATTTTGCACTTTTGAAAGTGTCGTTTCTGTGCCATAACGCTTCCTGTAGGCAGATTGTAACTCACGGAGCAGTTCGTGGGTAGTCAAATAATCAAAGGTTTGACCATAAACAGCACGTTCAGTCAACTTAGAAACGAAGTGAAGGTTGCTAATCGGGCGCATGTTGCTGAACAAAGGCTCAAGCCCCGCTTTTCTGTAAGAGCGGCGTGATCAGTGCTTTCTTCCAGACACTGGGGAAGTAGCCTGTAGTCAGGGAGGAATTTATAAGATGGGTAATCGTTGTTAGCAATACGTCTAACAATCAACAACCAAAGGCGTAAGCATGGGATTCAGGGCGCAGTCCGTTTTAGCCACACCACCGTCTGCAAGTAGTCGTTGATCCTCAGGTACCATTTCACGTTTTGCGAAATCAAGGCCAGTAGCATCCCAAGCCACTGCATCACGAATTTTAGAGATCTTCGGCACGAAAATGCACCGATGTCATTAGAAAGAACGGTATTGTCAGAGCAATTTGGGAAGCAAAGTTCATTTTTGGACTCGGTAACTTATTCCCGGCACGGAAGAGTTTTTCTTGATTGTCAAAGTGGTCGGAGATAAGTCGGTAGGTGCGCTTTCCTTGCAACATTCATTAGGTATGTCACTCGATTTCTATGTTCTTGAAACAATTTGAAGTCAGACACCAATTTGCCTTTTAGCCTTCCTGCGAAATCTTTTGGCAGCGTCAATTTCAGCATTGTACCAAGGAGCGCAAGGTTTAGCCCTAAGTATTTTAATCTTTAAAGGAGCATGACGATCCGTCAGATCCTTAAGAGTTAAGTTGTAGCTCTGAACAAGCTCATCAATGTCCTCAGCCGACTGACTATTTGGCGGGTTTCGATGTCTGGCACACAGTCAAAAGCAGCCAAGTCCTGTTTGAGAGCATAAGTGTCCAAAGATTTCAACTTTCTGTTAGCAAGTTTCCGACATCGTACAGGCGGTCTGGAAACAGAAATGTTACAAATAATGGAGGCATGATCTGATATAAAACGGCCAACACCAGATTGACCATTGATGATATAATCAAAGAACCGTGTGATTGTGACGTGCGTTGCATAAAACACGGCCAAGACCGACAGACTCAAGAAGATCACGAAACCTAACTGAATTAGCATAATATAGTTATTAACGATTATTCCGCGCTTTGGATACGAGATGGTAGGCAGCCAACAAAGCGCGTAGCGCTGAGTTGGCTATAATCATCTCATATCCAACAAGCGCGAGTGGAATGATTATTTTATTAAATACGCCCACAAAATATCGAGAATTCGTCCCGACTTTATTTGGAGAAACAACCGATTTTCAGCTTTTTTTAAAATTTTGAGCAGACGCGTACAGTTACCATATTTGGAAAGCACGGTACAATGGCTCATATACCATGATGGCTAAGCCAATGAGAGCTCTAGAATTGCGTTATTCAATGATTCAGTTTTTAATAATAATAATAATAACTACAGTGGAACCTGCCGTAATCGATCACCCGAAATGCGACGATTTAGTTGTCGCTTACGAGAATCAAACCACAGTGGTCTCTTACGAGAAAAGTTCCTGAAACATATACTTGGTGGAAAAAACTTATGGTAAGTGTGGTTCCATGTTGTCACTGAAAGTTCTTCGCATACTCTAAGTGGCGCAGTACATACAACGAGCAAAGAGATCACACCATGCGTCAAGTTGTCGCTTACAAGAAGTTGAAAACAATGGAAAATTATAAAACCGCCTGCTCAAAAGTGGTCGCAGTCGCTGGCGGTAGGTGGTCCTTTACGAGAGGTTCCAACTCAGGCTGTAAGGCTTTGAATGGAACGTTTTGGCGTTTTATTCCCTTACTGGAATGCACACATTACTGAAATCTCTAAAAAAAGTAGCTTCGGGTAAAGAGCTGTCGTCCTTTCGTTTCTCTGGAAACCTTTATTTGCGCTTACAATTCGATAATCCAGCCACACTTTGATTATTGTGACATAGTGTGATTGCAGGGCAACTAATGCCACCAATCTGCAGAAGCTCCAAAATCGCGCTGCCAGGATTCTGACTTACTCTGACTACAACGCTGAAGTCGAGCCGCTTTTTCAGCAGTTAAATTGGACTCAACTTGCTTGTCGTCGTGAAGTCCACACAGTAAACATGGTTGACAAATGTACTCACGGTTTAGCGCCTGAATATTTACAGGATAGATTTGTAAACCGTGTTTCGAATTATTTCTCAAGAGATTCCTCTAATTAATTTGATGTCCCTCTCCCCGCACCAATTATCTTAAGAATAGTTTTCGTTATAGCGAGGCGGTCTTATGAAACGGTTTGCCTTCGACTCTTCGTTAAGCAGAATCCATACACAGTTTTAAATTTGGCTGCAAGGAATTTTTCAAATAATATACACCCGGCATCCATGGGAAGCAGGCTAACTTAATTTATATACTATTTATTATTTATTATTTATTCATTATTTAATATTATTTATTATCATATTATTATGTATTACATACCCTTTATTAAGTTTTTATAGATAGAAATCATGTAATGCGCGCTTGATCATTTCATGGAAAGCGCGCAATATAAGAATTAAATTATTATTATTATTAATTATTATTATGTAGGTTAGATCGTAGGTTATATTTAACAATTATTCCACGAGTGCGCGTTGGATATGAGATGATAGATAGCCAACGAGGCGCGTAGCGCCGAGTTGGCTATAATCATCTCATATCCAACAAGCACGAGTGGAATAATTGTTTTATTAAAAACGCCCACAAAAACTCGTTGAATCTCCCCTACTAGAACAAACCGGAAAAGACAAGGAACTTCCGCTATTCACATGTCACACGTCTATCAAAACTGTCAACGCGCGAACGGATTCGCCTGGACTGCATGAATGAAAAATCAAAACATTGTAGCGATGAACATTAGTTTTTTAAAAACTCATCGGGATTCTAAGATTTTACACAGCAGAACAGCTAAAAAACCTGGCAGATAATGTGAAGGAAAAGAATTTTTAAGTGACAGCCGTCGA